GAGCCATAGTAAATGGTTCAATGCCTGTGAATCGGATACAAATTTGTTTGAATACAGTGCATTTTGTATCTACAAGGAGCCCAAATACGTCAGGCAGGCAAACAATTGCACAATTTGATTGGAGGTTGATGATTGGCGTCGATATATTGTGAGATTACAAACAATAGGGGATCAATGCTCTAACTAAACTTGATCTAGGACTTTCTTGGCTTGTCAGTGTTTAATATTTCAATGCAGAATCAACTTTCACTACTTTTGACTTTTAACATTACAACCGTTTACATTTACAATAGACGTTAACTTCATGAGCATCATCCTTTAGCAGTGAAGAACTGTTTCCCATATATGTATATTTAGTGACTTATTGGTCCCATTGTACTCTGATTTAAGAGAATCTTCTTAAATAACAACAATTTTGGGTGCAAAAAGGCTAGACACTGATAGACACTTTGAACCATTTGTGTATAAGTAACAAAAACAAAGTGCCATTATCTCACATTATCAACCAGAGTCAGCAAACTTCTTACAGACTCTGGCTTCAAAACTGTTTGAGTGAAGTTTCACAGTGTGCATGACTCCAAACCCCGTTCCATTGGCCACTGTCTGTGTCATTCTGTGTTCTGTTTGAGTAAGTGTGTATACGTGCCTGTATGTTTGTGATGCGTTAATCCACAGTTAAATCCTTGTAGCAAAAAAGGAGCTTTAGCTGCCAGCTCTCTGGGGTTTGAGCGGACCCGAGAGCACAAGGTCACTGTCCTGTAGCACTCTGAAATGTCAAACTCAACAGAGCATGAGCCTAAATAATGTTCTATTTCTCAATACACATTTAGATGTTCCCATGCAACTTCTAAACTAAAGTTTTGCATGAGGTTGGATGAATTTAGGAGTGAATGACAACTGTGGCAGCAAGCATTAAGACTACTCTGCATTACTTACAACTTAACAGAGGTATTTAGCATTGACAAGCTTGACCTACCTGTAGAATAACAGATGGAGTGTAATAAAAATGAGGCTTGAAACTATTTTCTTTTTGAGTCTGGATGCGTTTAATGTGTGAAAGTAATCAAGACACTATCCTCTTCAGTTGAACATATTAGAATGACAACTGAGACAGAGACAGACGAGGCAGATAACCTGCGTCAAAACGCTCAGGTCAGTATCCAAGGAATTTGAACAAGGCCAGCTGTCTATTTATGGGCTTAGATATGACTCATAATAATTTGTGTGAACATACAAATAATTTGTGTGTAAATATGTGATTTGTAAATGTAAAACACCATCCACAAATGCATTTAAAAGATTTGCAAACTCACAAATACATTTGCAAATGTAAAACGGATCTGCAAATACGCAAAATATGTTTACAAATTTAAAAAAAGATCTTTGAATACCTCGTTAACATTTACAACTTTCGATCAGGTATTTGTGAATCCATTTTGTATTTGTCAACCAAAAATACGCCTTTGGATCTCACATTTCTGCTCGTGGATCTCAAATCTCTGCTTGTGGATCGTCTTTTTACACACACAGAGTTTTGAGACAAACTTTCCGCCGGTCTCGGTTAAAATCTACTCGTGTCACTCGGTTATATTTCGGTAAACCAAGTGATGGCCTGCTGATGACGACATTTCCGCATGGTTTTCAAAGTAAGAGCATGATGGTTTGTTTAACGCGCTGTTTTTTTAATGAGCAGCGGAACGTTGGATGCATTCTTTATCACCACCATCATCATGTTATAGTGATACAGTTAGTTTGTGGTTCAACTTTCTTCATTGTTTTTTGTGTAGCGGGTCAAAGTTACAAAGCACTTCAAATCTTATTAATCGGCCTAGTTTTACCTTACCAGTGCAGTGGTAAGGTAATCTGTAGAAAAGCACCGTATTTGAAGCCCAAACACAGACACACTGTTATCCTCACATCTTAACCACCCATTAAAGAAATACTACCGAATTCCCCGGAGGTCAGAGCTAGACTAGATTACAGAATAAATGAGAGCCTAATCCACTCTCTAAAGCCTGTATATAATTGTCCATAAACGTATGATACAGGAAGCTTGCATCGTTTTATCTTCTATGATAAAACGCTTGTGGATTAAGAATAACCTTCTTTCAACTCCACACACACCACCTCCGAACGAGCAGAGGATTATTGGTATTACTGTACGGATCCCCCAGAGGTACTGTAAGATCACCTTGTCTTAAGCATCAGCACAGATCAAAAGAATGTTGGTAATGCTTTAAATCTTTCTGTAATGGGAGTCTGGTATTCCTAAATTGCAGATGTCATCGTTCAAATTAACCTAAAACCCATTCTTGTTATTGTTAAAACTGAGGTTAAGGGCTTAAGTGTGAAGGTGTAGCAGGTACACTTCCATTTGGCAGGATGGTTATTCAGAATTGTACCCCTGATGCTGTATTATTGAAATGTTCCTCATATTTTACTTCCAGTGCATCTGCAAGTCGCTGTCAGCTACTGGTAGCAGGCAAGTACTCTCACTGGGTGAGGAATTGGTTATTCCCAAATGTTGTTCTTTTTTGTATCTTTGGCCATCTTCAGTTGGCTATAAAAGCATTTTACACTCCAAAGTCATTGCTGAGATCTGGGAACATGGTGGCACTGCTAGAAAAGTCAGATGAGCCAAGAAACTCAAACTGTCAGGCGATGAGATGGGTTCTAAACAGGCCAACAGTTACAGCAGTTTGTCTGAACCATTGTATTAAGTGATGAAAAATGGAGTTCAAGTATCATGTGGTTTTTTTCACGTTATGGTAAACGGGTTACCATTTGGAAAAGTGTATGCCTAAACACTGGCAACATACAAGACTATTAGGGCACCTGATTTACCAGATGATCTGAGTTCAAACACTCACATATACATTTAGGTATGAGATCAAGATTCAAAGCTCAAGTCTGTCTGTAAGCTTCCATCAACCTTAACAAGCATATGTTTTGGTAATCATTTTACTGATTGTCTTTCTTTTTGCTTAAAGGTTGTGGTGTTTGACCACAGTTGTTGCTATGACACTTGTTGAGTACAACCTCTGCTTTTGTTTGATCTTCAAAGGATGTTGTGTTTTTGGTTGAGTTTGTTTATTATTGGGATTGTTTGTCTGTCTGTCAGCAGGATAACGGAAAAAAACTTGGGGGCTGTGGGTCACCATGGGTCGGGGAGAAACTCCCTCTGGAGCAGTGTTTCTCAAACTTTTTCATACCAAGGACCACTTAACCAATGAAAAAACACTCGCGGACCACCTAACTCCACAAATATCCCAAAACACATCGTTTTTCTAGAACAGATTATAAATCGCCTGGAAATGGTGCAAACAATTGGCAACATGTGTGACGAAGGTGTTGTGCTGGGCTTTATCATGCAATATAAAGTGAAACTTAAGCTCGTTCCATTGCGGAGATATTCCCACGAGAGTGCGGAAAACTTAAATTGATTTATTTATTTCAAATGTGAAATGTTACCAATATACTCACGGACCACTAGGGGGCGCTCACGGACCACCAGTGGTCCGCGGACCATACTTTGAGAAGCACTGCTCTGGAGGGACCTTTGGGAATTTAGCTTTTGCAGATCATTTACATGCAAAAAAACCTTTATATCACACTACAGGAAAGGGATGGACTGTCCACTCCAAGTAGGGAATGAGTCCTTACCCCAAGTGAAGGAGTTCAAGTATCTCGGGGTCTTGTTCTCGAGTGAGGGAACAATGGAGCGTGAGATGGGCCGGAGAATCGGAGCAGCGGGAGCGGTACTGCAGTCGCTTTACCGCACCGTTGTGACGAAAAGGGAGCTGAGCCAGAAGGCAAAGCTCTCTGTCTACCGGGCCATTTTCGTTCCTACCCTCACCTATGGTCATGAAGGATGGGTCATGACCGAAAGAACCAGATTGCGGATACAAGCGTCCGAGATGGGTTTTCTCCGCAGGGTGGCTGGTGTCTCCCTTAGGGATAAGGTGAGAAGTTCGGTCATCCGGGAGGGATTCGGAGTTGAGCCGCTCCTCCTTCGCGTCGAAAGGAGCCAGTTGAGGTGGTTCGGGCACCTAGTTAGGATGCCACCTGGGCGCCTCCCTAGGGAGGTGTTCCAGGCACGTCCAGCTGGGAAGAGACCAAGGGGTAGACCTAGGACCAGGTGGAGGGATTATATCTCTTCGCTGGCCTGGGAGCGCCTTGGGATCCCCCAGTCAGAGCTGGTTGATGTCGCCAGGGAAAGAAAAGTTTGGGGCTCTCTGCTGGAACTGCTACCCCCGCGACCCGACCACGGATAAGCGGGAGAAGATGGATGGATGGAGGAAAGGGAAAACCCCCAATACGCTTAATATGGCCTCTTTAAATCCAAATCAACATGAAGATACACAGACAATGTTTAACTAATGGAAACAGATGTCAGATGTCTGCATGGATGTCTAGTTTTCATTAGGATGAATGCAAAAAAAAACAATAAGAGGACAATCCAAGAATATAATTAAAACACAGATAAACACCCTGGCCACAAGTCGGTTAATAAAACTTAATGTAACAAATATTATTTTCCCGTCATCTATGAGTACTTGCAGGACTCTTGTTATTGGCAAGCCCAGTTACTGGTGTAACACAAAATCTAACAGCAGGTCAAGACCCGGGTGTTTTTACAGACTGCAGTTGCAATAATTAGCTTGCTTGCCAGGCTGTGGCTCATTACAAGTCCACAGCGAGAAGCAAGGACGGGGATACAGGGTATTGTTCAATTCGGCTTAATTAAAGCAGCCAATTAAAACACTTATCGCATTAGTCAGGTGTGCTCTAGGGAATGTTTCAATTTGACTTGTTAAAAAAAATTGAAAAAACCAGCAGATTACTATCTATCTATTGCTACTTATTATTCTGTGTGTGTATGTGTGTGTGTGTGTGTGTGTGTGTGTGTGTGTGTGTGTGTGTGTGTGTGTGTGTGTGTGTGTGTGTGTGTGTGTGTGTGTGTGTGTGTGTGTGTGTGTGTGTGTGTGTGTGACTCTTACCTCACATTTGCTTCCGTCTTGGAGGCAGCACTGTGGAATTCCTCCTTGCTCTGTATGTATTTTTCTGAATTCTAAATGACAAGACAGGGAGACATAAACATAATGCATAAGTTGAGCTTTATTTTTTTGTTTATTATATGTTACATTTAGTCACAGTGTCGTATGTTCAAAACATTATCACAATCATATGTGGGTTACCAGATTCATGCTGTACACCTGTTCGACAATGTTGAGCCATATCAGATATAACGATATATATGTTATAAAATGTGTTAGTGTTTGGCAACTACAAATATTAAGTATTTTCATAGTAGGCTACGAGTTTAAAGTATGAAATGTTTGACAAAGAAATTTGGACATACTTTTTGTGAGAACAAAATGAAAACATTAAAGTCTGTTTCTGTATAGGTTAAAAAAAGAGATATGACATCTCCAGATGTGCAGGTAAGCACAGCGCAGCTAGCTTTTCCCCCCTTCCTCCCCTGCTTTCTCTTCCCCTATTCCATATAGCAGCTTGCATTCTCCATTGTCTTTCAATTTTCCACATTGTAGCTTCGGGCTTTGAACTTCTAGACTTATGAGTTCAAAGCTGCAACTCTGAATTCCACCTGTGATTTAACCTGAATATTACCTTTACTCTAAGATGAACCACATGGGAGACCCCGGGCCAAAGAAGCAAAGCTACAGTGCGAAGAAAAAGTTGTGGAGCTGTATTTTCATCCTCAGGAAAGCTATGCAAATCCAGCTTCTTCCGGCAAAACTGAAGCTCAGCAGTAGCAAGTTGCCTTACTCGTACATTTTTAAAGAATTGGTCAATTCTGACTGTGCAGCTTGCCTGGTGAGGACAAAACCCCAAGCACGCAGGCAGTGGTATTATGATAAAACAAGCAGCTAATCCACAACAACTGCAGCCTTTCCTTTGCTGATCCTCCTAGCTTAGGCCTCCCAGCACCAAGTACCCACTCCCCAGCTCCCAAATATTTAACCAGCAAACTGTACCAGCTGGGGAGGAAAGAGGCTAGAGGGGAGGTAAGAGAGGAAAGAAGAAAGAAAAGCAGCAGAAGGCATGACGGTAAGAGGCAGGAGAATATTTGTGTTTGCCTTGACTTTTTAAATTGGATTGGGCCCAGTGTGTGCACGTGTCTAAGATAGGCAAGGTACAAAAAGGAGTGCTGCCAGTGCCATATGTACACTAAATTCCTTATGCAGTGGACAAAAAAGTGAATGTAACTGAGGAAAAAAGGGATTACAAAACACACCTACATAGCTATGTTATGATTAATCTTGAATGGTTTGGGTCAAAATAGCCTATTGGTTATGACATAGGACCTGACCCAAGCATGGACTTCTAACAAATCCAATCGCTTGAAGCAGGATTTGCTTCATAATGCCTTTCAAGAATACACCACGATACTTGAATGATTTGAAAGTCCACAAGAAGACCATGACGCACAGAATTGAAGAGTTCCTGTGGTACTTGGTGATATCAGACCTGAATCATCCATGTACAAGTGTGTGGTCTGATTTTTTAGCAGCCTGGTGTCATCTGCATTGGATTTAACCAAGGTAAACAAGACAAAATATAGAAATGGCAGAGTGCCCTGATGCAGCACATGACCGAAACTTTTCCATGTGGTTCCGAGACGTCTTATCTCATTCATTGTGAAATTGAGCGCACATACACAAGACTGACAGTTTACCATAAATGACCATGGACATGCCCTTAATCTACATTTGCATATTGATACATCTGCCTATTCAACCACTCATTAGACCAGTCATACCTGCCAGTGAAGAGAATGGCAAAGAAGCAGTGTAACAAACAAATTGGTGCTTTATAGTCTAACCAGGCCACCATTTCTTTCTCCCTTTACCCATATTGCATTTATATTACAGCCATTGACATTCGCAATTCTGGTTTTCTGGTCTTAAATAATCCAAAAATAATTATATTGGAGAATTGACCATGTAATGGAAATGTTTTGTGTAAGGGTCCAAAAAAAAAAAAGTTATCTACCCTGCTTCAATGAAAATCAGACACAGATGAAGATTAGAAATTCACCATGGATGAAAGCCTCAATATAAAAGAGATAAAGATGGATTTATAAAGGCTTGAGAAACAATGTTATTCAATAACTGAGATAAGCTAAATCCTGTTTCTATCTCAATATAATGAGGCACAGCATTAGGTTGTTTAATTTGAACAGACAAATGAACAAATGGCATAAAAGGAAATAATGGAACACTTGCATCGAAGCTTCGTCCAGACCAACTATTACTTCTTGCTTCTCTTGTCCTACCACAAATGTTCCAATGTACTTTCCTTTGTATGCTGCATATATTCACTTGTTTATAGGGACTTTGAATACAACTATTAGGCCACCTGCAGCCTTTTAATTTAAACGTTCCTATTTCCTAGGCGCTCATTATGTTCACTCATTTGACGTCATGAAGACCTGTCTTGTCCTCTCTTGGTAGCTTAGTTTTTTAAGGCCCCGTCCACACGGAGACGATATCTGTTGAATCTGCTAACGTTCTCTATCGTATAGACGGTTCGTCCACACGAGGCCGACACGGAAACGCGGACACGGAAACGCGGATTCGGAGCCCGAATCCGATACACGTTGATAACGGCTCCCAAAGTGGGTAGGTCTGAGGACGAAACGCTTGTGGCTCCGTGTGTACACCCGATACGATCATTCCCTGAAAACGATAACGCCATAGCCCCGCCCAGCGTTTCCGCCAGGGGGGCGTCTTGCCGTCATTTGACGCCCTTATTCGGCTCGGGACGCCCTGAACTCGAGTCGAGGGCGTCCAAAAATATGAATAATTTGAGAGAAGATCGAGAGTTTTTATCGCTTGAAATAACGAAAAGGAAAAAGGACAAGGACATCCATCTGTTGGAGGGACAAAGGAGTCTGGTGGGATTCTTTTCGGAGTATTGAAGATTGTTTCCCCGACATCGGCGGTGCCTGCTAAAGGACAACACACGGACGCGATGAGCAGTGCTAGTGGAGCACGCGCGTGAACTGCGAGCGCCAGAGCCTCGCAGCGGCGAAACTGAGGCTCCGTGGTAAACTGTGGTAACATGAAGAGCCGTGTGGGAGCCGAAACAGCCGGCGCTTTAAGAGAGCCGAGCCATTTGATCCGGCTCACTAACTTTAAAAGACAGTATCTGTAAGGGACGGCTCAAGTCAAAATGTAAGTGTCTCCCCCCCCGCTCTAGGGGTGGACGCCCTCTCAGCTCTGATCTGGCGGAAACACTGGCCCCGCCTCTCCTGCTCACCCCCGCGTCATTGCTGATGCGTTTCGCCAACAACAATGGCGGATCACAGGGTTGCGTTCGTGCTCCAGACGCTACTGACCATGATACAGATTTTAGTGCAAAATGTACAGCTCCTCTACCACAACCATCAGCAACAATAATAATACTAATCGTCATCAGTCTTCTTTGCTGCTTTTGGTATATTTTGTGGCGGAAGTACAGCGCCACTTACAGGCCCGGCATATGTACTACAGCGTCTCCAGCGGGTCGAGCAGTCTCGTGTGGACGGACACGTTTCTTAAGCCAATTCCGTGTGGACGGAAGACTTTTTTGATATCGAATTTGGTTAGTTTTCGTCTCCGTGTGGACGGGGCCCAAGTCAATTTGGTGGTTTTCCTGATTAGTAGTCTTTAGGCACAAAAAGTGGTCCCAACATCTGAAGCTCTAAATGCCATTATGCTTTCCATCTGAATAATGGTGGCATATGGTCGATATTTTTGAGCGAATGTACCATTTCCTAACCAGGGTTAGGGCTAAAAGCAAGAGGAAAGTTGATGTGCATGGGATAGGAAAAAAAAGTAATGAAGGAGAAACCAATGCTCATTACTTTTTTAAAGATGGCCATATAAAAGCGTGCAAAACATAGCCTATGTGTAGAGTGTCAAAAAGCCTGTTAGCTGTAAAAATGTGGCAACAGCTGCACTTAACAGTCATCAGCCATCAATAACCAAACAGATTTCTGCTTCCCTACTGATGATGATTGCAGCAATTCTCCCCAGCTGTCTACACATGTTTACAACCATCCTTCGACTATGGGATCCTAAATTTGGTGCTTGTTTGGAGTCAAAGGCAGCCTCAAAAGTAATGAGGTAGATTTGTTTAATAGTGTAGTTCCATTGCTGTTCGCTCATTAAAACAAGGTAATTATGACAGAGGTAATACTGAGCTCAGATCAGGATATAGAGCATCTCACTCTATTGGTCCATGTAGGGCATTGATAAGGTTGATGTATCCTGGCTGAAAGTATCTGCTATGAAATAAACACATATGGCACTAATGTAGGATAGACACTTGCCAAAGCAGCAAAAGGCTTAAAGAGGCCACTATGCTTTATTGGGGTTTTCTCTTTCCTATAGAGTATATAGGGTTTTGTACATGTAAATGGTCTGCAAAGGCTAAAATCCCAAAGGTAACGCTAGAGGGAGCACAACATCACTATGTAACACTCACGCTTCTATTGGGTACTGCTACACCAAATACTATATGATATTCCGACATATCTCTAAGCAGTTGACCAATCTCAACAGATCCAGCCAGCTAACCAATCAGAGCTCTTGTTTTCAGATGAGTATGAGAAAAATAAAGCGCTTTTTAAATATGAATGCATGTTAACGTGTCACAGAAGAGGCACAAAATACAAAAAGGATCCTGAAAATGAGCATAATATGTCCTCTGTTCATTTTTGAACAAATCGCAAACCTTGGTCAACAAGTTGGTGGCTAAAAGAAAACTAACACACACTCCCACAAACACTCCCACCTCATCTAACCTTTTGGTATGACCTGAAAGTGGCAGAGGCATTTACTGAACCACACAAAAGGATTCTTGATGGAGTCACACTATTGACCCTGGGCTTTGAGTAGAACTGTATATGTGTGTGTGTGTAACATGTGTTACGTCCTTAAACAAATGTACTTCCATTTATCATTCTACTTCTTTGGTGTGTATGTCCTAATGTATATTGTATACTGTTTTCTAGCCCTTGAGGGGTCAGAGATGTCACTAATGGAAAACCTAGTCAGCTAA